GGGACCCCGAAACGGAGCCCTGGGACCCCGACATTTATGGGGACCCCTACGGGGACCCCTACGAGGACGAGGAGCCCGAAGAGGAGCCCTGGGACCCCGCCCCGCCCCCCTCGGACCCCCACAGGGACCCCGAGCCCGGGAGCCTGCGGAGGGGCCGGGACCCCCAAACCCGGCCCTGGGACCCCCAAACCCGGCCCTGGGACCCCTACGGGGCTGGGGACCCCCAGAGCGATCCCGGGGACCCCCAAAGCCGGCCCTGGGACCCCCAAAGCCGGCCCTGGGATGCCTATGGGGCTGGGGACCCCCGGAGTGATCCCGGGGACCCCCAAACCCGGCCCTGGGACCCCCAAACCCGGCCCTGGGACCCCTATGGGGATGGGAACCCCCAGAGCGATCCCGGGGACCCCCAAACCCGTCCCTGGAACCCCCAAACCCGGCCCTGGGACCCCTATGGGGATGGGGACCCCCGGAGCGATCCCGGGGACCCCCAAAGCCGGCCCTGGGACCCCCAAACCCGGCCCTGGGACCCCTATGGGGCTGGGGACCCCCAGAGCGATCCCGGGGACCCCCAAACCCGTCCCGGGGACCCCCAAACCCGGCCCTGGGACCCCTATGGGGCTGGGGACCCCCGGAGCGATCCCGGGGACCCCCAAACCCGGCCCTGGGACCCCCAAACCCAGCCCTGGGACCCCCAAACCCGGCCCTGGGACCCCCAAACCCGGCCCTGGGACCCCCAAACCCGGCCCTGGGACCCCCAAACCCGACCCTGGGACCCCTATGGGGATGAGGACCCCCAAGATGACCCCATAGGAGACCCCCAAACCCGGCCCTGGGACCCCTACGGGGCTGGGGACCCCCAGAGCGATCCCGGGGACCCCCAAACCCGGCCCTGGGACCCCCAAACCCAGCCCTGGGACCCCCAAACCCGGCCCTGGGACCCCCAAAGCCGGCCCTGGGACCCCTACGGGGACCCCTACAGTGATGAGGACCCCCAAGATGACCCCATAGGAGACCCCCAGAGGGCCCTGGGCCCCCCCGAGGCTGAGCTCTGGGACCCCCCGAGGGACCCCCAAGGACTCAGCCCCTCCCCCAGGGACCCCCAAACCTCCTCCTTCCCCCCCCAGGATCCCC